GAGAAAAGAAAATATTAAGAGCCAGGAAGAAATACATCACACTTGGTGTTTGCGAAGCTGCACTGGGCAAACACATGGGCTTGCCACATATTTCCCTGGGCCCATATGGAGAAGGAAAGGCTGATAAGCTTACAGTTGACTGGCTTGTAACCCACCAGGGCAGGGATGGGAGCCAGCTGCCATCTGAAAGTGTGCAGGGAGATAGCAAAAGCTGTGGGGAAGAGAGAGACTCTCTTTAAGTGGATTAGCTGCTCAGAATATTATATCATTCTTTTCTCCTCCCAGTTCCAGGGCTTTCCTGACACTCATATGTTTTATGATCCTAGTCTCACTAGATCAATATTAAAGAGCAGAAGAAGCATAAAAGAGATCAGTAACAGCTCAGAGGCAAATACATAGGCTAGAATAAGAGTGGAATACTGCTGAGGCACCGAGAAGCAGGGAATCAAAACCAACGACGTTAGAGAGTATTCACATTTCACATCAAACTACCGGTGGTGTATTCATTTCAAGGTGCATAGACAGATACTTAAGTGACATAAAGCACTGACAGACCTCTTAAGTAACTAGTGAACCCCTCCTACAGGTAGCAGTTTAGGAGCAGGCTTATAAAGTTTCTGGAAGGTACAGGTGAAACCATGGAGAAGATATTTTAAAGTCATAGAGCCTGAAAAAAGACACATTTGTAGGTGTAGATGTTCTAATAAAATTTTTTGCCTCACCAGCATGCCACTCCTTATTTCATATCCCCAAGCCAGAGTTAAACTGTTTTCAGTTTAAATTAGCACAGGCATTTGGGCTGGCTTTCAAAGATAAGCTCAGCAGGTAGACCTCTTATCTTCCTTCAAAGACAGCACCATGCTGAGCAGATCAAACCACAGCTGTCTTCCTTACCTTGGCCAGACAGTTCACAGCCATGGAAAATCCCGGTCCAGACCTGTCCTTGTGTCTAAACAAGCCTCCCAGCCGAGACATCCACCTTAGAAACCTCTCAGCTTCCTCTCCAGAAAGGGCATAGTGGTGTCTCAAACTACCCAGAGAGAGGATGAGAGACAGTGCTTGGGCAAGATATTTAGCACAAGCCTAACCCCAGCTGGTACAGAATGTAAAACCTACATGTTCTTTGAAATATTCAGCCTGGTATCTGTAAAATACTCACAGCAGAAAAGGTGTCAAATAGTATCCACAGACCTTCAACAAGATGATTAAGCCACACCCTGAAGAAATCAGCAGACATTAAGAAAAGGGGAACCAAGAACATCAGCACCCAAGATAAGTGCAGAAGAGCTAACTGAAACCAGCACAGACCACGGCAGGCTGTGACAAATGGATCAATGAGCTAACTCATGACCCTACATGGAAGAAAGACTCGGAGTCCATGGAAAGGACACCGAGAGACCCCTCTACAATGACCACTGGAGATCCCCAAAGACAACCGACTCAAATCACTGAGGAGGCATGATTGGGAGGAAAATGAATATGTATATCATTGTTCTATATAAACTCTATGCTTTTAATTTTGTGGTATGGATGTTAGGTGGAAATATCGCCCGTGCATCAGGCACTGCGAACAAAGAATGCCTGCTTTATAAAACTTCAAGGTGAGTCTTAGAGAGTTTTCCACAAGCCATAATTTTTGGTATCACAACCCCCTGAACAAGCTCACTTGGATAGCTGGGTCTTCAACACACCTGTACCCTTGCATATCTTGTTAAAGCAGGCTTTGAACTAGGGGGACAGCCTGACTCCCCCCGAAGCAGTAGCGATGTGGTGCCACATCCAGGTTCCTCTGGCAAGGAATGTTCTGAAGGCAAAAGAATGGTGTAAAGCCCTCCCTTCCCCTGCTGTTTTACACAGGCAGTGTGAGCTGCTTCCCAGGTTTCACCTGTCTAGAAAAAACTCACACAAGTTTGCAGCTTTCACCAGTCAGGCTTATCCACAGCTGCTCTTCACTTTGAATGCAAATGAAGATCAGCAACAGAAGGGCTTTACAGCCTGCGTACCTCAGAGCACAGCTCAGCCCATGAACGTGAGTCATTGTGGCAAGCATCTCCAGCCCTCTACTGTAATCACACCAGAATATTTTAAAACATAGAGCTCAGTGTTGTTCTTTCCTTCACTTGTTTGAAAACCAAGCAAGATGAAGGTATAACCCATCCCCATAGCGTTGCTCTGTGAATGAGGCTTACCAGGGAACACTGAGGTCGTCACAAGCTTTCACTCCCCATATGCACAGGGGCTCTGTCATTGCAAGGTGTATGGCAGGACCATGCGTTAGCAGAGGTTTGCAAACAAGGCTTACAGGAGCTACAGACATGAAGCTTTCTCCAAGCTTCCATGTTCAAAGGTGTCATGGAAAGTGCTGCTGTGATCCCAGTAAGATGTTAGTGGCCCTGGCTAAAGTCCTCTGCTTCTAATGCATCCCAGTATGGTCTTCCAAATTGGTTCCACCTGCAACATTAACAGATCCCAGCTGCTCAGCAGCACTTGCCCACTTGCAGGCTGTTACTGCCAAATATATGTAAAGTCAGGGTGACTGCAAAGAAGTTTGGGACCTGGGTTAGAAAGATGGGATGCGAAAAAAAGTAGAAGTAAAGGGTATGGGTTTGAGAGGTGGGTGTGCAGGGGTGCAGTCAGGGCGGTGAGGGCCTGGAGTGAAGGGCTGTGGGTTTTGAGATAGTGTAATGCCGGAGAAGATAAGAATGGGGGTCTTGGTCCCTGTTGATTTAGGGACTTAAGAATATTCAGACAGCTGGAGGGGTTTATTTTGTTTGTTTTCCAGGTATACAGGAGACGTAGCCTTTAAATCCTGCTTAGGGTGTGGCATTGCAAAAGGTTGTCTTGGATATAACTCAGGAAAACCCCATTTATGGGACCAGTGGGACGGGACATTAAATGTGCTTATTTTCAAAATTAACACGTTGGATCCACATACTCATCTTGTAAGTAATAAGAACTGTGAAGGTCGATCTTTATCCTCAAGGACACTCAGGCAGGCTGCACTGTCTTCCTCGGAGATACCGAGGTTTATACCGGCCATTTCAATGCACCGGCAGGAAAGTCTGAGAGAGAGAGAGATAAAGCTGGGGGCAGGTGTTGAATTTTAACCCCTGGCTGCAAAATACGTACGCTAAACCGTATTCCATTTGATCAAAAGCAACATATGTCACTTTGAGGGATTTGGGGTTTCATTGAGAAAAAAAAAGTTCATCTCTAGCTGCAGGTGACATTTAAAAGACACTCTAGTATTTTTAAATAAGAGCAAAGAAGAATATTTAAATATAAGCCTTAAATGAAAATCAAGATATTTGAGACTCCTCACAAGAATTAACCAGCCCACGGCTGTACCAACGTTTCTGCCAATGCCTCGTGCACTTGGGTTGTACGTTCATACGCAGCCTGACCTAGGAGAGATGTCGCCGTGTCCATGTGTCACGGAGATGGAAGTGGATTAAGCAAATGAATCTAAGGAAAGATTTCAATTCAAAAAGGTCAGGTAGTGTTTAAGGATTTAGTTCTTTGTGGGGAAAAAAAAAAGTGCTGCATAAAAACTTCTGTGATAGAAAAAGAGAAAAGCTGCAGTTTGGCTGAAAATATTTTGAAGTTCACATTTTTATTTAAATAAAAAAATTTCCACAGGTGTGTTCCACAAACAGGCAAATCATTCAGCGCTCAGTTGTTTGTTTTGAAGTGCTTTAGAGAACGTTCACCAGCTGGTTCTCTTGTCTGATGGCTCTCAAAGGGCAAATGCCAATTTGTAAAAACCTTCACCTTTGAAGGTGAGCAAATGTTTGTTTCAGTTCCCAGCCTCTGGGTTCAGCGTTGATCCCACGGTTTACAGCAGATTTCAAAGAACAGCTTTGGGTAAGAGAGTAACGTGGCGATAAGGAAACTGAAAAGTCCTTTGTGTGGTGCTGGCCCCTCCCATAGTGTGGTGCTGTGATTTGCACAATGTACAAATGGAGGAAGGGACAATTGCTGCATGTTCCTGTTATTTGCTAACAACACCAACAAAAAAAAAACCCCCAAACTATGTGCTAAGATATTTCTTTTATTTCTGTACTCATCGAGATGAGAAACTGCTAGATGGGCTATGTACTACAGGTGAGGGCACCATTTGGTGAGGGCACAGCGTGTGTGGATTTCAAGGGGGGAGAGAGAGAAAATGCTGCTTTTTGCATGGTGTGTGTCTGGTCTGCATACGTCAAGATAATCCCAGTGGCAACAAGAGGGAGAGCTCTTTACATTTAGTAACATTTATTTCTGCATTCGGTATCAAGTACATAAGTGCAAATATTCAGAGTCCATAATTAAGTCCATTAGGAACTACAGAGAATGTAATACAAATTGTAATAAATTTAACATGCTGGAACTTTCCAGTTACCATACATGTAAATCAGCCTGTCAATCCCTTACCACAAAAGTACTGGGTTTCGTTTTCATTTTTTTTTTTGAGTTATACAAAACTGATTACCATAAGTACTGATTACTGTTTATTTTATTTGTGCTGGAAAACACTAAAACATCAGTCTACAATTCTATATAGTTAATAAAGATGAATCCAACCAGCAACCCAGTGACGTAGAAGCAATTTTAACTATTGCATCAGTGCGCTAAGCAGGAAAGCCCCTAGCCACATGTAACATTAAAAGTTATAGAAGCAATGCCAATAGAAGAAGGAGAAACACTAAAAAAATAAAATAAAAAAGGTCAATATTATTTAGGCTCTCACCATCATGCACTTTATAAGCAACACAAAAAACCACATCTAGTACACTTTTCTCTTTACTATACTTTAGTGCTTGACACAAGTGATTGCAAATATTCTAAGTGCAGAAGCAGCAGGGGAAAAGCACTGCTTCCGAGTTTTATGTTTCTAAGATTATGGTGTCGAGAAAAAAAAGAACAATAAATTTGCAGTAAAGTGTAAGAACAGAGCTGTTTCACTCCAGATTCCCCTGTTGTTCACTACTGTAGGCGATGAGTTCTTGATGTCTGCTTTACTCTGCCTTTCTCTTAGCACCTGGGATTTTAGCTTGAATCCTAGAAATAAAGAAGAAAAAAAAAAAGGAGGATTATATGATCAGGCAGCTATTCCATTCCAGTGGATCCCCACTTGGAGTCTCATCTAGGGGTGATCTCTTTAGCCTGCATTCCGTGTGTTGTCGCAACAGGTGGAACAGAGTCTAATAAGGAAATGGGGTGATGCTCATCTATGTGTTCTTACCGGCCTCTCATTGTAAATGGCCCAGGTTTTGGTGGTTTGTGTAACCACGGGATATGCTCAGTGATATTCTCCCCCCTTCATTATTCTACCATGGTCTATTTTCTGCTGGAAGCCAGGAATGAAGTTTAAACAAAGTATTTTCACTACAGACCTTTAGCCATGCCCAAGGCTGAAACCTTTTCATGGAAAAGTTGGCTGGAAAGGACCCCTGGCAGTCTTTGAAACATCTTCCTACGTGAGGCAGGACTATCCCCAATGCTAAATCAGGTTGGCCACAGCTTGCCTTGCTGCACATTGAAAACCTCCAAAGGAGAAGGTTCTGGCACCTCCTTGTGTAGCCTGCTCCAGTGCTGTCCTAATCTCCTAATGAAAAAGTTTCTCCTCACGTCCAACATCAACCTCCTAAGCTGGATTTATCTTGTTGCTCCTTGTTATAACATCTGCCACTACTGAGATGAGTTTGGCTCTGTCATCTTGTAACTTCCCATCAAGTGCTTACCGGCTGCTATGAAATCACACCTTAGCTCCCTCCTTGCCAGGCTAAACAAGCCCAGCTTCCTCAGCACCTCCTTGTGGGTCACTTGCTCCCTGTACCACACCACATTGTACCCTTCCACTGGATACCTGTTATTCAGCCAACTTTTGCAAAGCCATGGATACAAACTGTTGAGGTGTATGGATCTACCTTCCAGTCCAGCCATTCTGCTTCATTAATTCTGAAGGGTCAAGAACTATACTTAGATCCCCACTGTGCCCTTAGGGATCCCACAAAGGCTTTTGATACAGGCAGCGCAGTAGGAACTAGAGAAGACTGCATCAAAAATTTCATCCAGGTCTTCTGTCTGTTCCACAGTGGTTTGAAACACTCAAAATCATGGTGCTTCCAGGTATTTTCTTTCTGTAACAGGGTGGTGTTCTAATTCCCACTTTGTTCATGAACAGTATTATTAACTCTAAAGGACAGGGTCCCTGAATGCAGAAACCCAGGCTTGGGGTGGTCAGTGGGGAAGGAAGTTAATGCATTCCTTCTGGCTTGTCTTGGCCAGGTAAAAGTATGGACATCAGGCTCTGCTTGGACCGCTCTGTCCACAACTTCCCCAAATGGCAGGAGAGGGGAAGAGAAGGGTGTAGGGTCACAGCTCTGCCTCAGTCTACACTCAGCTGAGAAGGCCTATGCTCCTCCAGGGATCTGCCCTCCTGCAGGAGCTGGGGAGGACATCATTCACAGGGCACGTTGTCCCCAGGACCACCCAGCTCTTAGCCACCCCCAGTGCACCGCAACCTCCCAGCAAGACTTCTGGTCAAGTCTGCTGCTGAACTCACTTTGCCACAACAGTGTTTATGTGGGTCCGCACCAGTCCCAAGTATTGATCAATCTGTGCCTGCAAAGAGCAAAAGGAGACCGAGTCAATCAGGCATCAACAAGGCAGAACCACCCGGACACCTGAATGACACCCTGCGGACAGACTTACCTGGTACTTGTCATATACAACGGGGAGAGTAAACATAGACACCACAGCTGAGGAGAAAAAGAGCACACTGTTATATTCCTGCCGATCAGATTCCTCCAGAGAAAAGACCTACTTCAAGCAGTGACAAACACGTAGCATGCCACTTGGTCAGCTGATCCACCAGGGATCTTTGTATTAAAAATGAACTTTGCTCAAATCTCCCAGATATGGTATTTTCCCATTGCTCTGGCACTAGTAGCTGCAAAACCATAAAACACAAATTAGTTCTAGCAGGAGGCACAATGTAATGGGAATAATGAATATTTACTGGAAAGGGAAATCAAAGTTGATGGTTTAACTACGGGGAAGGCACGAGGATAGGCTGTTTTGTCTAAGTAGAAATCACAAGGGAGTTAAAGTTAAAAATAGATTTTAAAAGAAATGTTGATTTTTACCCATTATCAGAAGAGTCAAGCCATTGAAGAGGGCTCCCACGTAAGTCAGCAGCCACATTAGTACTGCAAACTAAATTAAAGATGGATCATTACATCACCTCCAGTGTCAGCATAAGAAGAAATTAGTTCATTTAACCAGCTACATAATGGCACATTAGCCTTTTTTAATGTGTAAGGGGACTTGGTAAGTAAGGCACATTAGGAACTAGGTACTTTTTCTGAGTGTATAAACCCCATTCTCTGTTCTGCTCTTCATTGCTTCTCACCCTCTTAGCTGAGCTTTCATGTATATTTAGGGCTTAATTGCATACATTTAGGACTCTGCACTGAGCATGGCATAGGCAGATTTCTGCATCCAATTTTGATGACAGCAGGGATCATCCCACACAGGTTAATCACAGCCCCACAGTGACTGAAGACTCTTGAGGCTGGGAGGTGGGTACGTTTTTCTAAAAGTCTTTAGTATTTAGGAGCCTAAACCATGTCTGCTTTCTTAATGATCTTCCCTTTACTCTGAAGAACACCTACTCGGGTGTAAGACTGAAAATAAATATAAGACTGAAAAAAAATTATCTCAGCAAGGAGGGAAAGAAGACCTTCCTCCATAGCAAGAAATGCCACCATTAGAGGAAATGCAGATTAGCAGAGGTATTAGAGGGGAACACACCATTTTGTGGCAAAAAGTCATAGAACGCATAATGCAAAGATGCTTCTAGAACTGCAGTGGAGCTGAGCTGGTCCTGCAACTTTTATAACTCCTGTATTATGGATCAATAAATTCAAATGCAGATTGCCAAGCCTCTAAACTGCTGGAAGCAAGCAGTTTGGAAATCAAAAAGGAGAGTGACTTTTATATTTGGAGCTACACAAAACTAGGTTTTATGGTGACACTGTCAACACGGGAAGCGGCACTTTGAAATGTAGATTGATCCTCTAGAGAGGGGTTAAAAATATTTAAAGCAATCCTACTTTTAAAGAATCCACGAGGTCCTGAACGAGAAAGAGTCTCCTCAGCTCTTTGACTGTGCTGTTGACGTATAGCTGGAGACAGTCTGTGTATTTCTGAATCTGGTCCTGTGAAAGATTCATTTCCATCTCCAAGTAGGCTCTGCCAGAAACACGGGTCCAGTTACAAACTCAGGCAGGTTCACCCGCCGTTCACGCTTGTGCCTGTCTACCCCCTCCCCAGGCCTCATTTCTTCGTGCTGGAGCAACGTGTCCCCCTTCCTGCAGGCACAGAGCCATCGGCACACACTGTCTTCACCTTGCATGACCCATCTCCCCGGGCAATTGCGGGATGCACCAGGGCTGTTTGCCTCTAGCCTTGCCTGCTCCCCACGCAGAGCCTGGTCTTGGTGAGATCTCTCTCTTTACTGCACCTTAAGGGGAATGCAAATCCTTGCTGAGGGGGGTTACCCACATACTTCTGGGCAACACAGCTGCCACAGAAGGGGACATCTCCTCCAGCTGGCAGCTTCTGGAAGAGCAAAAGCTGCTGTCTGGCCATGTCACCTTCGGCAGCGATGCCTCCTCCTCTCTCCTCCATCCCTCTGCCTGCCCTGTGCCTCTCTCAGGGCTATGCCTGTGCCGTGAGTCGCATCTTAGAACTGACCTCAGTGAAATAGAGGGGCAGCACCCCAACGAGGCTTTTTTTCAGTGTGTGTATTTGCAAATCAGAAGGGTTCCATGGCCTGGTTTACCAACTTGTTGGCACAGCAGAGGAGAAAGGATTGCTGCTCTCCTGGAGCAAACCACCCAGACCCTGCAGAGGGTGGGGAGGGCACCAGCATTGGCACTGGCACCGTCACCAGGGGTAATGGATTGCCACATCACAGCCAAGCAGTGCTGGAGAAAAGATATAAATACTTTCCCTCTATGCCCAATAGAGTGTGCCCAGAAACAGTACTCTGCCTGCTTGCAGAGATACTGTATTATCATTAGCTCTAATGAGACTCTTTTTCTGTTTGCTTACAATTTTCTGGATCTTTTGAATTTCAGGAAAAAAATTCCCACGTCTCAGAGAATGATGGCTTTTTTGTTGTTTTTTTTCCCCCCAGGATCTGAGCCAATACAGCCTTACAGCTCTTGAGACACTGGACAACAGAAAAAATTATTTCCCCTGTTATGAGCAAGAAAAGAATTTTATCCAGTACAAAAGCAGCAGCTAAAGAAACGTGAACTGCCACTGGGAATGGATCCTTTCCAAGATAAACGGCCCCTAGCCATTACTGCAAAGCACTCACTTGAAGGGGTGGCCCTCGTCCGTCTTCTGCACAGCCTGTAGGACTGATTTGTAGATTCTGAAGCTAATGGTGGCCGAGAGGCCGGCGAGGGCCAGATAGGCCACGACGCTGACGACGCTGAACTGGGTCAGGGAGAAGAGCAGCAACAGGAGGCTGCCGAACACAATCCCTGTCTGTTTGATGTCACGCCAGTACAACAGGTCGATAGCTGGGGAGAGAAGACCAACATGTTAAAGGCAGGAGCTGGAAGGGCATTGAGGATGGCCACCATGGCCACTGCGATGCTCAGAGTCCTTGCAGGAGGGTAAAGGGAGGCATGATGCTCCTGCTCACATCAGCATCGCCAGGAACTCCTCAACAGAAGCAGTGAAGTGACTTCAGCAAGGCACTGAGGAAATGACAACTGATGACCTACTTTGAAATCCTTGTATTTCATCTGTCTGTGTCTGGGTTAGATAAGATGGATAAATATCTCCAACCGCAGCACGGTGGGTCTCTTGCAGCAGCAAGGCAAATGCAAGCCGGGGTTTGTGTTGTTGCTAGGGTTGTATGGCAAGTTCCCACCCTAGCTTGCATTTACTTACTCTGGAAACTCTGGATTGTTTTTATGTCACAAGTTCAAATGCCAAATGCTTGATCAAAGCATTTTCAAGTTTGGGTTGTTGAAAAATGAATGAGAAAGTTTGGGGTTAGCCACAATAAACCACTTTCCCATTCAAAGTTTTGACAATATGATTTTGTCACTTCCTGAGTTTTGAGAAAGTTGAAGACTCCTGTTTTTCCCACTGCTTAATAGTTACATGGGTAAGAAACCATTTTTCAGATGGGATCATAAAATACAGAATAAATCCCTTTTGCTGCTGCAAATCCAACCATCTCAGAAACATTAGAAAGAAACTTTCTGCTCGTTAGATAACTTTCCTTGTCTAGATCCATGGGAGGTGTTAGTTAGAACAAAGCTAGTGCAGAAAACCATTTTCAACCAATATATTTTTACATTTGTAAAGGAGTTAATTTTGACTGTGTTTTTCATGCAGTTTGTATGGTTTATTCCAGCCTCTCCAGCAAACAATCTTACTATCAGGAATAGTCACTACAAGAGCAAAATTTTATTAAATGATTGCTGAATATCCAGTCCACAAAGGTGAATTTAATTTCTTTACACAGATAGCCTGTTTCTGAGAGGACTCTTCATCCAGCCAAAGAACATGCCCATGACAATCTAAATAAACAGCTTTAATTGCACACACTGCACAAATCCTCATGAACAGCTTGAACGCACCACCAGCCAAACAGATTTCATAGATGCCACTTGTCAAATCATTCTGAAAAAAGAGTAAATTCAGGAAAACTGCAATCTGTCAAAAAAATTTTCACAAATACAAAAAGCAACAAAATTAATCCAGCTTAGTCGTTCTTATCATCCCGTCTCCAAAACTTGTGAGTCACCGTGGCACGTTTGCCTTGAGTCAATGAGCTATATTACTCATTACTATTACACATATTAGCATTGCTTTTCAAAGTGATGGGCTTGAATGCAAAAATTGCTATTGTGTGACTGAGCTCTTGTCATGCAGCATTCACATCCTACTGTATTCTCCATCAATATACACAATATAATAACTCTTTCATATTTTTCAAGTGTCAGTGTTCAGCACTGGACCTGTGATCATGAGCACGCATGAACAGATCTATGGACTGCAGGGAAGCCAAGGGATGGGGATCTTGGTGGTCCTGGGAGCTGAATTTGCAAAGCAGGGACCAGGCCAGAGCCTTTCCAGATATATGCCCAGGTCTCCTTCCTCTAGAAACCCAGAGGCAGGGACTAGGGAATGCTTGAAAATGCAGTTACAACATAGTCAGAGCATGCACGTATGCAGGGAGTTTAGCAGCAGACCCAGCTGTATTGATGCGGGCAGCTGGAGCTCCACCAATTGCTCACAGTTTTGAGGTGCTGGAGTATGTGGCTTGCAAACCACCCTTACAAAATGCCATCCAGAACACAAGCGTGCAGTTTTTATCATTTTTCATACTCTTTTTCAGTCAAGGCGTCGCAAAATTCTGCAGCACAGCAACTGGTGTGCTTTTCACCAGCAAGTGTTTGGACAGGAGGTATTCACAGCCTGAACATTTTTATGCTTAAAAATTCCTCTGTCAAAGGACAGTATTGGAAATCTATGCAAATCTCACTTTTTGAGATAGATACTTAAATTTTCAATCACACAATACCTTCCCGTTAAATGAAACGAGCACAGGTGAGCTAGCTCAGGATGCTGTAGGTGGAACATCATCTGCTGAGGAAAGGAAAAGGCCACACACCAGGGGAAAACACTACCTGGGACGTAGGCAATGGACAGGCAAACGAATGAGAGCTGAGCCAAAAAATGCAAAAGCCCACTTCAGTCAATGCCCCCCTGAGTTAATGCCAATTCATGATAAGACCCCAAACGAGCAACTAAGCCTTCTTTCTCTTTCTAGGATCTTCTGCCTCATACTCCTGCAGACTGGAAGTGGGCCGCATTCTCACGCAGAGAGATGCCAAACTGCATTTTCTCATTCCCCTCAACAAGGAAGATGCTGAATGACTCAAGACAGACTTGATCAGGTGTATGCATATCCTGAAACCTGCCCCCTTCTGCCGTGAAACCATCGGGATATTTAATAAGCTGTATCAGGTAAGGAAAGGCTTGCCACAACTCCGAGCGAGATGGACTGCGGCCAAATGACACAGTTCTGGGTATACGTGCACGCACGAGAGAGGAGAGAAAAGGCAGCTGGCCTCTTTCGCCAGCCAAATGAGACTTGGGAGAGAGGGATCCTGTGTCTTTTAGACCTGAGGCAAATATTCCCATGTGCATAGAAAAAATATGTGCCAACTGCTGGGTGGAAAATCTCAGCACAGAGGGAGATATGAGTTGAATGATTTTTACATGGCTGTCCCAGTGCACAGGTACAGCCTGGGGACGCACGCAACCCCCTACCCACAGCCTGCAGTAGCTCATTTAGGATTTTCAAGGGCAGGAACCAAATCCACCTTCTCCTCGTCTCCCTCGCAGGGATGGGGAGCTGTGGCACTGCTGCTGTGCCCAGACATTCAGGTGGGATTTGCCACTACCACAGCCATTCCTCCTCCTCTCCTTTAGGGAGAAGGAGGGGAGCCAGACCGCCTTGCAAAAAGGGGTGCAGGAGGGAGGTGAACTTCACGGCTCCTTGGGCAGGGAAGGGGAAGAAGTTCAGTGCTGGAAATCAGTGGAGACTTGTAGGGTCCAGCCATGGTCCGTGGGCTTCCCTGGAGAAAGCACTTTTTTTTTGCCACAGGCCTCAGAGATTTGAGCTGTATCAGTTCCCCTGGAATTTAAGTGCTGCTGAAAACACCTGAGCTACATGTCAGAGCCATGTTTGCTTCTTCAGTTACAGCTTCATTCATTTCAAAGGCTTTTTACATTATTTTTGTCCTACATTTCCTTACATAAACAAATCTCCCTTCAAAGTGGTCAGAGGCACACCTGGTGCAGAATCCCCTAGCTGGGATCCTTTGCCTGGCTTCCTCAGGGTGCCATTTTCTCCTGTAACCATTCATACCAGAGCAAAAGTACCTGTCACATCAGTGTCTGGCATTGCAAATAGATACCAAGGGGCAAAGCCATGAGAAATCTGCTCCTTCACCACAAGCTGAACCCAGGACTGTGTGCATCAACCCCCTCCATACCCTTTTTTTATTCTGAACAGGAATGAAAAAGAAAGATAAGGTTGTCCACTGAATTTATAAGTCTGCTTTGAGTATCATTTCATCCTATATTCATATAAAACTGATTAAGCAAACAGCTCCCTCAAACACTTGCTGACCCCATGGGTTTACTGCCCTTCAACAGGTCACAAAATATAGATGGTGGCCTGAGTCTTTGATGAAGTGTAGCTGCCTGTTCATGCCTGCACCCCTTCCTTCCTATGCCAAAGAGACAACTGCCCAGGGTCAGACCAGCCTCCCCAGCACATGGGGATGCAGTGAGTATGAGGGTGGCGGGACCGGGAGCTGAGCTGGAGCTGCACACCTCCGCACACACATCTCTCTGCAAAGCCACTTGCCAGCATGCGCTGGCCCCACGCTCATCCAGGCTGAGACAGGCTTCAAGTCTGGCTCTTAGGTGGGTACAGTGTTCCCCAGATAAATTAGAGGACTGGGGATCCCTCAGAGCATGAGTTAATGACATAATAATTAAATGCTTTGGTCAATCCTTAGTGAAAAAATGTCCCAAAGGCAAGGAATAAAAGGTCCTAGTGTAGTCAAGGGTCCTGCAAGTGCTAGGTGTGTTGCAGAGAGCGTGTGTCCATGGGGGTGTGTGTGTGTGTGCACGGCACAGCCCAGACCTGACTACAATGGCACGATTCTGAGCAACGCATGCTGAATATGCATGAAGCAGGAGGCTGGTGCCACGTGAGCCTGTCAATATGTGATGTGCATACAACTGGACAGTGGGTCAATCTGCCTGGCTGAGCAAGGTACACTTCTGAGAGCCAAAATGCCAACTTCAGACCACCTCAGGTTTGCAGCTAGGATTTGCAAACAGGGATTTGGAAGGCAGGCACTGGAATCAGCCTCGGCTTCACTGAGTTTGGGTTCCTTCTGTTTTGAAAATCCCAACTGTAAAATCCTGGCCATGCCCATTAACATGCAGAAGCTGTTCAGCTGTAGCTTTCTGTGGTCTCCCTTTAGCCTCCTGGAAGGAGGGAAGCAGTGACAGAAAGGACTCCAGGTTTTGCCAAATTGCCTCAGACTCAAAAGTATTCGTACTTATTAAGGGGGACTCGCCAACCATCTTTAAGACAGAAGTGATGCAGGTCACTGCAATTGCCTTTGAAGAATTTTTCTGGAGAAGTATGTCTGATGAGCTATGCATCTGAAAGTATCACCTGCCTGTGCTTTTTAACTGACAGCAGAACTTGTAAAATGTTACTCAAGTAGCCTTCTATTTGAAAGAAAAAGCTTTCAAGGGTGCCAAATCAGTGTCTCAGCTATACTTTATGGTATCATTTCATCTCATTAAACAACTGTGAGTCCTCCATTTGCAGCCAACCCCCAGACAAAGGATGGACAAAGGTAAACTCTATGATACAAGCAACAACTTGTTAATATGAGCAGCTGGTAAATACCCATGTTTGCGAGGCGAGCTGAAAGTAACCTCACAAATATAAGTAACAGCAGCAGTG